TTTAAGAACATACCACACAATGGGGTAAAAGTTGCACCCCTGGGGGGCAGGAGCTGCCTAAAGTTTCCCCATTGACTTACTATGGTGAAGGACGTCCCATCAAATGCATGTGTTTTTCCTACTATGGTAAATTGCATAGGGATTTTGTATTGAACATAGCTCTGGATCACAGTGTCATAGAGACAAGGGGGCGGGCTCATTTTATTCAGACGACCAATCAGTCTCTCAGGATCATTGTGATGCTATCAAGCCACGCCCTAGCAACCATATAGAGCACCTTAGCAACAACTCCCATAGACTTCCATTGAAAGAGATCAAATGGATATCTCAGGATATAAGTGTCATAGAAACATGAGGGTGGGCTCGTTTGACTTGGGCCAGCAAACAGCCAATCATGAATCACCTCAACAATTTCTGGCCATGCCCTAGCAACCATTTTCGAGCACCTTAGCAACCAAAATCCAAAGAGGGATATCTTCCATTCTGAATGTCATAGAGGCATGGGAGTTGGTTTATATCATTCATACTGACAAGCAGCCTTTGGAGTTTCATGATTGGCAGCTGCCAAGCCACTCCTTAGCAACCAAACAGAGTACCCTAGCAACCATTTTGCACGACCTATATCTCTGCATCAAAACATCGTATAGAGATGGGGGTTGGTTTATACATTCACATTGACTTTGGAGCTTCATGATTGGCAGCTGCCAAGCCACTCCCTAGCAACCAAACAGAGTACCCTAGCAACCATTTTGTAAGATCTACATCTCTGCATCAAAACATCGTATAGAGATGGGGGTTGGCTCTTTTTACTCATGCTAGCAAACATGACTTGCTACATGCTACACATGCTAGCAGAGAATAGCTACATGCTAATATTGATTAGTTAAGTGCTAAATCATGCCAAGAAAATGCTACAAATTTCACAGTAACCATCTGTGACAACTACCAACCACCTATACCAGAACATCCAAGCAACCTCCTAGCAGCACCCTAGCAACCACCTAACAACCACCCAGAACACGCTAGCAACACCCTAGCAACCACCCAGAATACCCTAGCAACCGCCCAACAACACCATAGCAACCACCCAGAATACCCTAGCAACTGCCTAACAACACCATAGCAACCACCCATAACACCCTAGCAATCACCCAGAACACCCTAGCAACCACTCAGAACACCCTAGCAACCACCTAGCAACACCATAGCAACCACCCAGAACACCCTAGCAACCGTCTAGCAACACCCTAGCAACCACACAGAACACCCTAGCAACCACCTAGCAACACCCTAGCAACCACCCAGAACACCCTAGCAACCGAGCGAGCTTTTTGCCACTGCAAGCACCACTTCACATTTTCCTCTGGAAATGTACATTCTAGTTATTATTATTATTTTACTTCAGCAATAATCTGCAAAGGGTCTTCTTTAAAATGATACCAAACTTAAGTCTGTGCTTCAAAGCGTCACGTTTTTATGACCGTTTTTTGACATGGACATTTTTGTCCTCTTTTTACCTATGTGTAATTTTTTTAATTGATGCACAAGGGTTAATCGTTGCCCAGCACTAATGCGATGCCAGATGTTCATCCAGTCATTGAACACGAGGAATACAGCGGTTCAAACAAGCACTTCAGTGGACACGATGTTACTTATTTGTTTCTAATAATGTTTCATGTTACTTTTATTCTGGCCTGAGAGCCGGGGACCCGCAGAATCCCCTCCGAATCCAGACCCTTCTTCTCCAGGAACGACAGGAGCTGAAAACAAGGAAAACAGTCATGTTGAAAACACCCAAGAGTCCAACTTTTAAAGTCACGTTGAAATGGAAGTAGCGACGGAGTTACAAAGTAACATTTATCGTTAGCAACAGTGTTAAAGTGACTAAACATGAGATTCAATGTATCCACTTCAGAGAGCTTCGTCATAAACTGGAGCATGACGTGAGAGAGGGAACAGGAAATGATGTCATCACATACTACTTGGAGGAAGTGTGTATGTGAGAAAGAGAAAGTGTATGTGTGTGTGTTTGAGTGTGTGTGTGTGAAACAGGAAATGATGTCATCACGTACTGCTTGGAGGAAGAGTGGGATCTGAGTGCTGGGTTTGATCTTCTGATCGCTCTCCACCAATGAGGCGAGAGGAACGCCAAACAAACAGCTCTCTGACAGACGGGAAGACATTTGACAGATTCGGATTATTCCAGTGTCACAGATCGAAACGGACGAGGTCATGTGACAGGAAACTCACCAGGGATTTTCCTTTTGCAGGTTTTGTGTCGTTTGACCTCGAGCTCCAGAAGGTCACACAGCGCCGTCATGTCAATCAGCGCCAACTGGCGGACCTTCTTCAGGTCCTGATGGGAGAGATCCACGACCCGGGTCACTCCTAACCGGCACTGCGGACAGATGACCCTCTGAGAGAGAGAGAGAGAGAGAGAGAGAGAGAGAGAGAGGAGGTGAGACGCTTGATCATACTTCTCAACTGTAATATTAAGTATTAATATTGATATTTAGAAGTAACTGTAATTTACTGTAATATTATTAGTGATGGATAAATATGATCGACTCATTTTTTGTAGGGATGGGAATCAACAGAAGCTTATCACAATATTTCATTATTACAATTTTAAACATTTTAAGCATATTTTATATCTTATTATAACTGCAATATATATATATATCCTCTTTTTTGTCCTTTCTCATATTTTAGACATTTAGACAGAGCTTGCTGTAAAATTATACACCAAACTCGGTCGCAAAATCGCAACTCTGAGCCGAAATTAAGGCCCTGAAACAATCGAGATTTGGCATGTGTGTATAAATACTGTGATACTATGCTGTATGGATTTAACCCCACCGCTATACATTATTATACTCTATATAACAGACAGTCAGATATACAGTCAGATAGGCCTCGTTTACACTGCATGGTTCAAGTGACCCAAATCTGATTTTTTCCTCTGATTTAATCCTCGGATCGGATATGACCGGTGAACGTGTAAGCAGGAAAAAAACATGATTTTCTCAGATCGGATTCAGGCCTCACTCATATGTGGTAATAAATCGGATATGAATCGGATACGTGCATTTGCGTGTGCCAAGTAAGTTGACAAATCGGATATTCCCCAGTAAATGCGAGTCGTCCTTCATTAAAAAGTGTGCGATTACAGGCGCGATGGAAGAAAGATGCGGAGGGTTCATGTCTTTTGAGTGTTTGTGGTGAAGAGTGCAGGCGAAAATACAGGGTTGTTACAGAAATAAATCAGTTTTTGAAGACATTTCACGAGATATTATGAGGCATCATTTTACGCGCTCGTGGCTACAGTGCGTCTCCTCCCCTCTTTTTTCTCCGCTGTACGAGACCAATGTTTTGATGACTTTTCAAAATATTATGGAAAGAAAAACACTGGATAATTTTATTCACATCTGCATCCATTGCACTTTGTGCTGTTTTACTTAATTTCCCGGGTCAGAACGTCTGCATTTGGTAGTTTCAGCAGTGTATAGTGTAAATGCAAAAATCAGATATGGGTCACTTTTAAAAGATGATGTAAGCAGGTCGTCAAAAAAATCGGATATAGTCAGAAAATCGGATTTGGGCATCAAGACCGGTGTTCTGACATTCCATCCTACCCGTCAGATTGTCCTACCAAGGCTTACTGCGCATGCGCACATCAATAATACGTCATTTTTTGTCACGCTGAACAACACGCCCATAATATTTTACTACTTGCGCGAGATCTTCTTCATCTGAGGTAAGTTTTTCACTATTTTTGTCAATTACTATACAAAGATATATAGCAGTAATGAGAACTGTTTACTCTCACATTCATACAAAGCAAATTCATATTAGCATTTTTTTCATGAAAACATTAACGTAAAATCATTCTACTCGTTTATTTCATACTGGTAGGACAATCTGATGAGGCATTTTGCACTGTAAAATCATACTACTCGTTTATTTCATACTGGTAGCACAATCTGATGAGGTATTTTGCAACGTAAAATCATCCTATCGTTTATTTCATAGGACAATCTGAAGAGGTAACGTTACTTTGCACTGTAAAATCACCGTAACATGGCCTAATAAGAAAATTCGGCAAAGTTACACAGAAATATTTTATGTAACTTAGTCACAGACGCGAAGCAGAAACGCTCAGTAGGATTTTACGACGAGGTAGGATGAACCGATAGATATGGCTATAATTTTGCGCTACGGTAGGAAAATCTGACAAGGTAGGACAGATCGACAGAACACCGGCAGTGTAAATGCAGCCTTAGACACACATTCAGACACACAGTAAGTCAGACACACAGTTACATAGACCCAGTCAGACAGACAGATATAGTCAGACAGACAGATATATTCAGACAGACAGTCAGTCTGACCGGCAGTGTCCCGTCATCTCTCCTGCTCGGGCTGCTGTTGTTCTGTGGTAGTTTGGCTTGTTTCAGTAAGATGGCCGCTTGTTCACAATACGCCACGTCTGTGATAAAGATCTCCTCCGTCTGTAGCCCTTGAGTCTCCTGCCCACTGACAGCTTCACACACACACACACACACACACACACACACACACACACAGTTAATGGCTGTTCTATTGACAGCGGGAAGCGTTCCGTATCTGATCCATTTGAATATCATTTCCATATGAAAAGGCAGGAAATTGCATGTTGTGTTCAAAGGGCAGATTCTGCATTCATGCTCGTATAATCAAAGCTCTGGCAGATTACGGCCCATCTCTCTGAATCTGAAGCATTTTACTCTTATTAAACACACATATGCTCTTATATTACTAGATGTGATGGTGAAGATATGCAGCTGAAAATAACACTACATAATGAACAGACCGGCGTTTCATTCCAGCATTAGAGTCCATGTACACAGGACTCACAGATCTCCACAATAATCAAAGCAGCTCTGCAAAACTCTGTTCAATAAATCAATATATTTTATTAGCTTCTCAGGCATTAGAAAAGCGTGTGTGTGTGTGTGTACCTGATCGTTGTGTCTTTGTCACACTGTCCATGTTTCTGTGCGAGTCTGATTCGCTGTTGCGTGTCTCAGGAACTGCTGACTGAATAGAAAACAATTAGTTACACACACACACACACACACACACACACACACACACAATGTGTTATCTCTGAATTCAAGCCTTTATTCAGGTGCCAGTGATATGATCTGACATGACGTGAGTGTGTTATTGTCTGCTGTGAGCACGAACACACACACACACACACACGCCTTTACAAATGCCACGACTGACTGTTTCTGAGCAGATTCTCTCGTTATACAACAATACACACCGGGCCATCTACACACTTTAGCATGATGTCCTTTAATCTCACTATTAAACAGTTCAAGTCATAGTTTCATTACAGAAAGAGTCGCGATGAGCGATAAAACATTAAAGGATTAGTTTACTTTTGAAAAAACTTTTGCTGATAATTTACTCGCCCCCATGTCATCCGAGATGTCCATGTCTTTCTTTCTTCAGTCGAAAAGAAATGAAGGTTTTTGATGAAAACATTCCAGGATTTTTCTCCATATAATGGACTTCAATGGGGTCCAAAAGGTTCAAGGTCCAAAAGAGTAATACGTAATTACGTTCAAAAGGTCACGGGCGACGTAGCCGGAAGTACAGAATCAAAATTGTCCGACATCGTTGTTTTACCTTTTAATTCCTTTTTTTGTAAACGGCGTTTGAGTTAGTTTGCACGTTCAACCTATGCGTTCAACTTGTAAACACTGACTCCCCAGCTAACAGGGAACGTTCTTAGAACTTTGGCTAACATTCCCTAGAGGTTTGGTTAATGTTTTAAATAAAACATTTGAATGCAATGTTTTAAGAATGTTTTAAGGATGTTTTCTCATTTCAAATAATGTTCCTATAAGGTTAAATGTAAACTAAGATATAACATTTTCACTGTAACATTTTGAGGATGTTTTGGGAATGTTGCTGAGATAACAGATTAAACAATGTTCTCAATAAAACATTAGCACAATATCTCATAATAACAGAGGAGGAACATTATCAAATCAACGTTCGCAAAATGTTTTGAGGATATTATTTAGTCCTGAGATGATGGAATGTTTTTATAAAATGTTCTTGTAATGTGACGTGTTAACAAAACTAGAACATTGTCACTGTAACATGTTGAGGATGTTTTGGGAATGTTGTTGAGATAACAGATATTAGAATGTTATCAATAAAACATTGGTACAATGTCCCATAAAAACAAAGGAGGAACATTATCAAATCAACGCTCGCAAAATGTTATGAGGATATCATTGAGGCCTGAGATGACTGAATGTTTTTTATAAAATGTTCTTGTAATGCGACATGTTAAGAAAACTAGAACGTTTTAAATTTAACATTTTGAGGATGTTAATGAGGTAAAGGTTTGTAGAATGATCTCTTATAGAACATTGAAACAATGTTCCATAATAACAGAGGAGGAACATTATCAGGTTAACGTTCGCAAAATGTTTTGAGGATACTATTTAGTCCTGAGATGACGGAATGTTTTTTATAAAATGTTCTTGTAATGTGACATGTTAACAAAACTAGAACATTTTTACTGTAACATGTTGAGGATGTTTTCGGAATGTTGTTGAGATAACAGATATTACAATGTTCTCAATAAAACATTGGTACAATGTCCCATAAAAACATAGGAATAACATTATCAAATCAACGTTCGCAAAATGTTATGAGGATATCATTGAGGCCTGAGATGATGGAATGTTTTTTATAAAACGTTCTTGTAATATGACGTGTTTAACAAAACTAGAACATTTTAAATTTAACATTTTGAGGATGTTGATGAGGTAAAGGTTTGAAGAATGATCTTTTATAAAACATTGAAACAATGTCCCATAATAACAGAGGAGGAACATAATCAAATGAACGTTCGCAAAATGTTTTGAGGATATTATTTAGTCCTGAGATGATGGAATGTTTTTTATAAAATGTTCTTGTAATGTGACTTGTTAACACAACTAGAACATTTTCACTGTAACATGTTGAGGATGTTTTCGGAATGTTGTTGAGATAACAGACATTACAATGTTCTCAATAAAACATTGGTACAATGTCCCATAAAAACATAGGAATAACATTATCAAATCAACTTTCGCAAAATGTTATGAGGATATCATTGAGGCCTGAGTTGATGGAATGTTTTTTTATAAAATGTTCTTGTAATGTGACGTGTTTAACAAAACTAGAACGTTTTAAATTTAACATTTTAAGGATGTTGATGAGGTAAAGGTTTGTAGAATGATCTTTTATAAAACATTGAAACAATGTCCCATAAAAACATAGGAATAACATTATCAAATCAACGTTCGTAAAATGTTCTGAGGATATTATTTAGTCCTGAGATGATGGAATGTTTTTATAAAATGTTCTTGTAATGTGACGTGTTAACAAAACTAGAACATTTTCACTGTAACATGTTGAGGATGTTTTCGGAATGTTGTTGAGATGACAGACATTACAATGTTCTCAATAAAACATTGGTACAATGTCCCATAAAAACGGAGGAGGAACATTATCAAATCAACGTTCGCAAAATGTTATGAGGATATCATTGAGGCCTGATATGATGGAATGTTTTTTGATAAAATGTTTGTAATGTGACGTGTTTCATTAACACTGTAACATGTTAAGGATGTTTTGGGAATGTTGTTGAGATAACAGATATTTTAACGTTCTCAATAAAACACTGAAACAATGTTCCATAATAACAGAGGAGGAACATTATCAAATCAACGTTCGAAAAATGTTTTGAGGATATCATTGAGGCCTGAGATGATGGAATGTTTTTATAAAACATTCTTGTAATGTGACGTGTTAACAAAACTAGAATGTTTTAAATGTAACATTTTGAGGATGTTAATGAGGTAAAAGTTTATAGAATGATCTTTCATAAAATATTGAATGTAGGCCTACCATAATAACAGAGGAAGAACATAATCAAATTAACGTTCGCAAAATGTTTTGAGGATATTATTTAGTCCTGAGATGATAAAATGTTTTTAATAAAACATTCCTTTAAATTGACTTTTTAACAAACATTTTGCATGATACATTTTGAGGATTTTTTGTCGAAATGTTGTTATCTTTTATAAATCATTGGCACAATAACAAAGGAGGAACATTATCAAAGCAACATTCATCAAATGTTTTGTGGACATTTACCTGAGATGACAAAATCTCATAATATATGTTAACAAAAGCTCATAAAATTGTAAGGATATTTTAAGGAAGCTGTTTAGGTAACAGATTGTAGAATTATTTTAACCTATAGAATAATGGCATAATTTTCCATAATGAAAGAGGAACATTGTCAAAACAGCATACGGTAAAGTGTTTTGAGGATATATTAGGCTACTCTGAAATGAACTGTTGCGACAAATGCGTTTACAAGAGATGAGAAGCTGATTGGAGGTCGCTGTAGATCGACGTTTAAAACCACCAATCACAGCGCGATGTTCCCATGACGTAAGAACATTTGAACTCGACAAACAGCGCAAATAAAGCAACGTTTCTGTTGAAGAAATCGGCGCAGAATGTCCGTTGTCTAAATTGGCGACACATTGGCCCAAAACAACAGAACTCCTGGTCAACGGAACTGTTTCACAACTGTAAGTTTTTGTGTGTATTTTTTCAGTTTACATAGCTTTCTCTTATCCTTGATGTCTTTCAGTATTAGACCTAACTTTCTACTTTCTTAGAATTGTATGACAGTCGCATTAAATCTGAGTGTATGCTACTTTTGAATAACAGCTAGATTTGTTTTAATGCAGACTCCAAACGGACTGTTTCAAGATGATTAACTTACCGATGACACAATAAAGTCTCCATTTACAACCAAGGTAGCCGGTATGTGTTCTATGCATACGAATACTGTATTTTTACTTAAAAGTGATCTTAATGTCTTTTGAAAGTAAAAGTTAATAATAATTCAGTAATTCATATAACGTTAGAGGTTAACGTTAATGAATTGGAAAGAGCGTTTCTCAAGGCTTCAGGTTTATATAACATTCTTCTTTCAGATGAATACTATCTGAGTTATATTTAAAAAAATGTCCTGACTCTTCTGACTTTTAGAATGGCAGTGAATGGCCGTCTATCAAGGCGCATCCATCCATGATAAAAGTAATCCACCACATGACTCTGGCGGGGTTATAAAGCCCTTTTAAAGCGAAGCATTTGTGTAAGAAAAATATCCATTTTTAAAACTTTATTGTATTAAGATATTGGATACATGGATTAAGTATGTTTTAAATTACAGAAACAAAAAAGATACTCATAATTTATCATATTTATACTTTCAATAAATTAGTCTTTACATAATTTCTGACTGCTAATTAGGCTGGCTAATTTTGAAAGTTTTCAATGTCAATATTGCTTGTGATCTTAATGTATGTGTATTCTTTATGTTTACACTTTTGCATGATCTTCTTTTTTAGGCTATGAGGAAAAACTCTACTGTGCACACAGAGAACAGAGCTCAATGCTAACTGGGGGAGCAGCTGGACAACTAGAAGAGAGAATAGTAGAACACTATTATTAATACAGATTCCTGGATTATTTTTCTGCAAGAACCAAAACAAGCAAAGACTGATGATGAGTGCTCTGAGCAAACACCGCAGTCAAGACGCATGAGTGACTTTACTGAGTTCTTCATGTAATGTTGGGCATTTACTGTACGCAGAACTTCTAATAATTTATGTGGATGCCATTTAAACCTGTTAGATTTTGATGTTTTAGTTTTGAGATTAATAAAATGTTATGCTTTAACAATGTTATAGCTAATCATTTTTGAGGGGTTTTAAGAGAACATTTTGGGAACAAAAATAAACTTCCGCTAAAAACTTTATAAGAAAGTTAGGGGATAATGTTTTAAAAATGTTATGATTAAACCTTTATAGAAGGTCATCACAAAACATTTTCAGAGTGTTCTTAGCGAATGTTATGCCATCTTTTAAGAGAACATTCTGGGAACAAAAAGAAAACTACCCGCTGAAAATGATATAAGAACGTCAGGGAATAATTTTCTAACAATGTTAGCATTTAACATATTTAGAATGTTTTTAGAGAATGTTATTAGAACTTTTAAGAGAACATTCTGGGAACAAAAAGAAAACTACCCGCTGAAAGTGCAAAACATTAGGGAGTAATGTTCTAACAATGTTAGCAATAAACATATTTAAAATGTTTTTAGACAATGTTATTAGAACTTTTAAGAGAACATTTTAGGAACCAAAAAAAAACTACCCGCTGAAAATGTTATAAAAACATTAGGGAATAATGTTCTAACAATGTTAGCAATAAACATATTTAAAATGTTTTTAGACAATGTTATTAGAACTTTTAAGAGAACATTCTGGGAACAAAAAGAAAACTACCCGCTGAAAATGTTATAAGAACGTCAGGAAATAATGTTCTAACAATGTTAGCATTTAACATATTTAGAATGTTTTTAGAGAATGTTATTAGAACTTTTAAGAGAACATTTTAGGAACCAAAAGAAAACTACCCGCTGAAAACATTATTAGAACACTGCATGGTAATGTTCTCAGAACATTTTTAGAACAAAAAAATCCTAGCTGGGTCTGTACTTCCGGCTACGTCGCCCGTGACCTTTTGAACGTCATTACATATTACGTGACGTTACAAACACGCCTCACAGAATAGAGCAAGGCTAGTGTTTGTCCTTAGAAAAGTTAGTTTTGAAATAAGCGATCGTTTCGCATGATAAGACCCTTATTCATCGTCTGGTGTCGTTTAAAGACATTTGAAGCTGCATCTGAAACTCTCATTTGGACCCTGAACCGTTTGGACCCCATTGAAGTCCATTATATAGAGAAAAATCCTAGAATTTTTTCATCAAAAACCTTCATTTCTTTTCGACTGAGGAAAGAAAGACATGGACATCTTGGATGACACGGGGGCGAGTAAATTATCAGCAAAAGTTTTTTCAAAAGTGAACTACTCCTTTAAGAGTTTTGCTTTATTTACTTTATTTTTATAGCAGATTTAGGAATGAGGACGTCCCTAAAGGAGGTTTTTGGAGATTCTGTCAGGCTTTGGTCACTTTGGGTACAAATTTGTTCCCAAAATACAGTTAAGTAGGTACACACTCACTCACACACTCACAGGTGTGTCGTTACCTGAGCGATAGCGTGTGTGAAGACGTCTCGGACGTGTCTCGGTGGCGTTTTGTTCCTCTTGCGCAGTGAGAGTGTGTACGAGTCGATGCGCTTCTGAACCGCGGCTGCTTGAGTCTTAGTGAGAGTCGACAACAGCACCGCTTTATCCTCGTCCTCCTCTTCACCCGTTACCAGTGGAGACAAACCAGCATCCAGCAGCCAGAGCTCGTCCTGCTCGCCGTCTGACACACACACACACACACACACACACACGGAGCCGCAAGATTATTAATGAATATAAACATCACTCCGTCCTTGGTCTCTCTACTTTGGTTCCCTGTACAGTATAGGATTGATTTTAAACTTATGTTATTAATGTATACATCTCTTCATGATCTGCCAATGAGACTTTCAGATCAACAACTATAAAATGTACTTAAAATTGCAAGGGCCAAGTTAAGCCAGTAACGGGATTGTGCATTTGGGGTCGTAGACTCTGGAATAACCCTTACATGTTACGGATCCCTAACATTTGTCTAAGTTGCAGTGAAGCGTGAGACTCGCCAGATCAGATGTTCAGGGTGTTCTGGCTCAAGCACACCTGCTGCCGCTAATGAAGCCCTTGATTAGTGAGGCACAGTGGTGGAATGTAACGAAGTAAAAATACGTCGTTACTTTACTTAAGTACATTTTTCACGTATCTTTACTTTACTTAAGTACAATAAATAGTGCATACTTTTTACTTTTACTTCGTTACATTTTGCAGCAATTATTCTACTTTCTACTCCACTACATTTCTACAACTTCTGTTACTTTTTCATTACATTTTCTGATCAGTTTTTCCCCTGCCAAAACGTAATCTGACCATCTGTTCGTTGCACGTTTGTCTCACCAGTGACATTTGGTTGCCATAGATACAGTATATCAACTCGGTCACACAAATGCGTCTCGCACGCAGTGTGTTTATCGTGCAACTCATACGCGAAAATTTGTTTTTACGTGCATAAACGCACCGTGTGTAATATAGGCTATGTTTGCTTTGGTTAGGATTATGGCAAGCCAAGAGGTTCAGAATTACACCATAAATGAATCGCGTTTACTGCCAAACATAGTTATTAACATATCGTAAGGATAAGCATGATATTGCCTAATTGCAAGCTTGTTTCAGAAATGGTGACATTTTTTCCCATCATTATTGAACATCATTATAGGAGTAGGCTATTAGGTTGAATGAGTTAGAATTAAATGTTTTATTAATCATTAGAAAATAGACATTAAGATAATAAATTGTTATGCAAGTACTTTTACTTTTAATACTTAAAGTACATTTAAAATAAAGTACTTTTTACTTTTTACTTAAGTATGGTTGTCATTGTGTTACTTCTACTTTTACTAAAGTAAATATTTATCTGGGTATTTGTACTTTTACTTAAGTACTGAGATTCAGTACTTCCTCCACCACTGGTGAGGCAACGCCTGTTCTGCACATTTGTTTCAGATCTATTCAGGGGGGTGAATAATTTTGAGACTGCAGAAGTCATTAAAAGTTGCATTTTCAGTTAAATTGGGGGAATGTTTGTTGTGTTGAGCTATTCTAATTACTTTTTGTCATTTTTGACTTCATTGCAAACAGCTGAAAGTCTGTAAATTTGCAATGGGGGTTGAATAATTTCCATTTCAACTGTATACACACACACACACACGTCATCTCACAGCATCATCATGTCCATCTCCATCTCTGTACCTTCAGACTGTCGGGAGTCTCTCCTGCGGCTGCCGTCCGGCTCGGGGTCGCTGCTGCTCCGGATGTTCTCCACTTCAGTCCAGAAGGACTCGAGGCACAAGCTGTCGGGCTTCAGGAGATCGGGAGAGTCCGGCTGCGGGTCCCGGGGGTCCGTCCAGGACTCAACGTTCATCTCGCTGAGGCTGCAGTCCCTGAAACACACCAGAAGAGGAAGAGAATGGTGAGGAAGAACACATGAGTGTGTGTGTGTCAATGCAGCCGCTCTCATGATCCATGTTCTACTCAAACTACTTCCGTTTCTGCAGAACCGACACACACACACTCGACGGCTGCTCATCATGGCATCATATCACCTTCATACAAACATCATGCATGTGCTACATGGAGGAACTACTTCCTGTTCCGTTCCTGCAGGACCACCGAACACTTTGAGGAGGTGATGAAGAGTTTCTGCAGGTAACTGACACACACACACACACACACACACACACACACACACAGCTCAGTGAAGAGCGGCTGTTAAAGCAGTTTCTCTTCAGATGCACAGATTAAATCCAAGCTACACTTCAGCGTCATGATGATGTCATTTTACACTGATACACACTGTTGATCTGACTGGTGTGTGTGTGTGTTTAATGGCAGAAATCATTCTAATGTTATTTTCTGCTCAAGAAACATTTTATTTCTCAGGATTCTTTGATGATAGAAAGTTCAAAATAACAGCATTTATTTGAAATAGAATCTTTTGTAACATTAGAAATGTCTTTACTTTGATCAATTTCACACACACACACACACACACACACACACACACTATAAACCATGTCGTCAGGGTGAGTTTAGTAAAGACTGTACCTGGCAGTGCGTTGAGTGTGTGTGTGTGTGTGTCTGGTTGAGTGTTGCTCATGCAGGTAAAGAAGGAAACGTCTCGGTCGACACAGTTTTCCGCGCTGGACGGGTTTAGATCGAACCAGACGCACCACAATCTCCTCCCTGGGCTTCATGTCCATAAAGTACATCCTCAGTTACAGCTCCATCAATGCAGATGAATCATCATAATAATGTTTGAATATTTACAATTTTCCGTCTTTTTTGCTTGTTTTATGCTCCACTTCTTCAGTTCTGAGTGTAAAAATGTCCCGCTTTCAAACAGAAGATGCACACGGACGCGACTCACCAGTTGCTCATTGCTCTGCTATGTGTGTGTGTGTGTGTGTGTGTGTGCCGGAAGGAAAAAACCAGCAATACCACATCACTCTCACCTAAACCTGCTCATCTGGGACACACCCGACCCATTCACACACACACACACACACACACACACACACAACATGCCATTCATAACTTTGATGAAAATAATCTTCCGCCTCTGACCCACATGTGTCTGTTATAATCACTGAAACACACAGATCACATGCAATGTTTACCACTTTAAAAAATCATGTCACTGCAGGGAAATATAATAATAGTACAAGTAATTAAAATGGAGAAAATTTGCAGTGCCAAAAATATACGACCAAATGTATTTATTTTGTCAATAAAACGAATGTACTATATATTAGTTTTTAATTTATTCAATATTTTGTATTTTTAGGGGATTTTATTGTACTAAATTATATTTATGCTGGAAATTACATTTCCAAATTAAACTGAGGTAAATCTTGCTTTGAAGTCTGATCTCTTTTAAAAGACGACACTTGCAGATTATTCCTGAAGAGAAAACAGTTTTAAAAAGCGAACTTAAAAAAAACTAAAATAGCCGAAGAGCACCAGAGGGTCAATGCACAGATTACCTGAAATATTGATCACACATGGACACAGATGTCAATCATTAGTTTTAATATTTTTTCTCTTTGACAGTATATGGACGAATCCAAACCCGGTTCTGCTCATCATTCATATCTTCCTCATATTCACACACACATTCCTCGGTCGTAATGAATTAGTGATGTGGACACAACTCTGTCATCTCACATTAAATCTGTCAGTAACACACATAGAGAATCTCCTGGTCAGCCTAACAGGAAGCCGTATGACGCACACGCACACACACACACACACACACACACACCATTGTTCTGTTCATTCTCAGGCTGCTGCTTCTTTCCTCAAAGTGAATAATAAAGTGTACATTAAACTCCAGGAGTAAAACACACACGGTTTGAGTCGCACACATGAACGAGCTCTCGGTTCTTCAGATCATGGAATGAAGACGAGCAGGCTTGTGTTCTCGCTTCAGGTTCTCGTGCCGAAGAACGTCAGAGTATTTTTAAACCTGAAAAGTCCCCCTCCTTCCACATGTTGAGATCCATTGTTTCACACACACACACACACACACACACACACACACACACACACACACACACACACACACACACACACACACACAATAATGTGACTTTAATAGAGCGAGGGAACAAAAGTGTGAACACTGAAGGTTCAGGCTGCCATTATAACTAGATTACGGTCATGTTTTAAAGCTGCTTCATTATGCTTTTAATGATATGACTATTGGACTATATCATTTATTTTTACATCAGGGTTCGTACAAGGTGCCTAAAGTGCTTGAATGTGACGTTTTGAAATGTAAGTCCTGGAAAACCCTTCCAAACGGTAAAAATAAAGTTTTCAAGGGTTTCCCAGGACTTACATTTCAAACATCAAATTCCAGCACTTTAAGCACCTTATAAGGAGCCAGCGTTATTTCTCTGAACATTCAAACGTGTCATTTCTTAAATGTAAAAAAAAAATAATGTTAACAAGTGACCACAAATGGAACATTCCATTCATTGTATCATTCTACGACTACACTGAGAACGTTACTTTTGAATGTTCTCTGATTTTTTTAAATGTAACAGTTGCATTTTAAACGTCGTAACAGTAACATTTAAAAAAAAAAAAAATCACTGGACTAACTTTGAGAGAACATTTCCAGGAAATTGTAAAAGCGTTCCCTGTTAGCAGAGACTCTCCACTGTTGGACTCGCTTGGCAGTTTGGGTTCAGACTCTCATGTGCAGATGTTAGTAACTCGACCACTTTAAGATCAGTGTGATATTCAGGAGAACTAGTAGACGTCCAATGAGCCATTTTCACAGCAATGCGACAGAAGAACCATTTCTACAAACTTTCCAGTAGAATTTCTATTTTCTCAGTATCAAGAATATTTCAATAACCCAAATAACTTGTTTCCTCTATAAAGAAGCTGTTGTGGAACGGGTGCGACTCCACGGATGTTAAGGTTTCCCGATAGAGAAGAGTGTCGGGTCCTACCTGCGTCCCGTCGGAGTGTGTGTTCTCCCCGCGGGAGTGTGTGTTTTCCCCGTGTGCAGGAGTTTCCCCCACGGCATCTGGTTCTCCAGCAGATACAGCTCGCGTCGAGCGCCTGTAATCTCCTCATGTAAACACACCAGAGCCAGAACGCTTCGCACAGGAACGTCTCCACATCCCAGCATCCTGATACAGGAAGAGCCGGAAACATGCGGATCACGGGAAACACGGGAACACATACTCACAAACTCAACCCCTGGTCTAGTCTATCAACGCCAGCTTTCAGACTAACAGCAGTTCTTCTCCAGCTCTCTCCTTCTGAAGCGGATGAATGATCACACACACTCGCTCGCTCGAAAACTGAGGTCTTAGTTTGCGGGATTAATAGACTTGTGACAAACATCGACGTCAACAAACGGTTCAACTCGGAGATATTTTGATCCGTCACAGTCCAAAGGCCGACAATCCTGCGTTTCCACTGCGGAAAAGCTTAAATATGGCCAAACAATACAATTATGAAACATAATCAGCATTTTATTTTGGGGTTAGTGTGCATCTGACATTTATAATGCTACAAAAGATTCTATTTCAAAAAAACACTATTTTTAACTTTCTATTCATCAAATAATACTTCACTGTTTTACTGTATTTTTGATCAAATAAACTGCGTGTGTGTGTGTGTGTGAGAGAGAGAGAGTGTGTGTGTGTGTGTATGTGTGTGTGTGAGAGAGAGAGAGAGAGTGTGTGTGTGTGTGTGTGTGTGAGAGAGAGAGAGAGAGAGAGAGAGAGAGTGTGTATGTGTGAGAGAGAGTGTGTGTGTGTGAGAGAGAGAGAGAGAGAGAGAGAGAGAGAGAGATGATCTTGTGTTTCTCCAGATTCTAAGCTGCTTCAGAGACTGATGGCCAGAAACACACACACACACACACACACACACAGATGGCACATAATTAACTGAAGACACAACAGCAATTCTCGACTCAACCTGAGAGTGTGTGTTCAGCACCACATTCATATTAGCAGCTCAAAGTATTCATATTTAACGCTTGAAAACTGCAGAATCCTGTGTGCAATCAAAGCTTCATCTGCGATATTATATTTGTTGTGCAGCAAGTGTGTGTTTCTTTTGATGTGCTACAACAAATTACACACACTCTCACTCACACACACACACACACACACACACACACACACACACACACACACACACACACACACACACACCCTCTCTCTCTCTCTCTCTCTCTCTCTCACACACACACACACACACACACACACACACACACACACACACACACACACTGCAAGGGTTTGAGAAACACACACTCTGCAGTCTGCATTAAAGATATAGTTCATTCTATAGTTCATGTATTCTCTGGTATTCAAACACATGACCTTGGCGTTGGTAGTATCATGTTCACGTGCGATCACACACACACACACACACACACACACACACACACACACACACACACACACACGCATCGGAGCATCATGCAGATTTTCTCCATCCGGACAAAGAGAATGTTGTGTTTGTAGCGCGCGCGCGCTCCCGCACCACACACGCGCCCATAGCAACAGGTCTACTTCCCATAGCAACCGGCAAAAGCGCTAGCATTACAAATACAAGACATTTATTTGGCGGATATAGCGACTGATCCCAGATAATAATGACGAGTTACACAGACTGACCTGCGCTGCGAGACGAGCTGCTCCGCGCGTCCGATGATGATGATGATGAGGATAACGGAAGATGTTGATAATAATAACTGAATCTGATGCTTTAATAGCGCTGATGCTGCACACACACTCACACACACACACACACACACACACGCACACAAGCACGAGCCGCTATTGTCTGACAGACAGATGGAGCTTAGGAGGACTGCATCATCATCACGTGACGTCACGGCGCGCGCGCCTGTATGTGTGTGTGTGTGTGTCGCGCGCCAGGTGCGGTTTGATCGTGCTAATCTGCTAAATAAGTTTATCATAAAATTAGGTTATGATGGCAGGTTTCTGAACTTGTAAATGACAAATGCATTTATTGTTTCTATTTTTTTGTATTTCTATTTTATATATTTATTACAACCTTGCAGTTTTGTTATCCCAGCAAACACAACGTGTCCCCAACGTTCCCGTATGGTTCCCATTTGATTTTTTTGGGGAAACAAACAAAAACGTTTTAGGAATGTTCCCTGTAGGTTATTTTTAGGTTCTATTTCTATAACCTAAAGTGAATGTTCCCATAAAAATTCCAGAAGTTCTTTTTACGTTAAAAACTTTCCTGGATCACCAATAGGGAACATTCTTGGGAACCAAAAACGAACCTTCCCATAACGTAAATTTTTTAGCTGGGATGTTATTTTTGTTCAGCATTAATGAATGAATGAATTAATAATAAAAACCTCGATTCATGCGATGAATGTATCTAAACTATTCATTAGCATTATTAGAGTTTTAAGTAATTAATTCATTTTAAAACACCACTTATAGAAAATAAAAAATCTTTTTGAATATTATGAAAATGCTTTTTACATTTGAATTATTCAACTTTACATATGTTATGTGTGTGTGTGTGTGTGTGTAGCATGTACACAGTAAACAGCAGCGGTCCCAGTACTGAGCCTTGTGGTACACCATCCTGAACTTGTGATCGATAATCTCTCCATTTACTGCTACTAACTGATTTAAACCATGCTAATGCTATTCCACTAATGCCAACATAATGTTTGAGTCTATTTAAAATGTTGTGGTCAATTGTGTCGAATGCAGCACTGAGATCGAGTAACACTAATAGAGAGATACAACCGCGATCGGGTGATAAGAGCAGATCATGTGACTCTAATGAGAGCTGTCTCAGTACTATGATGTGCTCTAAATCCTGCAGATATCATTTCTTTCAAGAAAGGAACACAGCTGTGAGGAAACTGCTTTTCCCAGTATCTTTGACAGATTCAAGGTCGGCCTGTTATCGACTAATTCTGGAGGATCAAGTTAGTCAAGTTAAATCATAGCCAGCTTAAAGGTTTTTGGTACGCAGCATCCTAGTGACAAATATGAATGAATATTAAGATATTAAGAAGAGGATCTATGACCTCTGGAAGCATCCCCTTTGAGTTTCTTAGTCGGTATGGAGTCTAACATACATGTTGTCGATTTAGATGAATTAACGCGTTTAGACAATTCTTTCTCTCCTATAGCAATAAATTACTCAAATGTTTCCTCAGGGAGACTACAACACTGATGCGAGACTGATGCGGTGCTGTAGTAGACGGTTGCATAGTTATAATTTTCTCTGTGATATTATCAATCTTATAAGTGAAGAAGTTCATAAAGTCATTAGGCTACTGCTGTGACAATTATTCACAGCAGTTTTTTTTTTTAATTATTCTACTCTACATATGTTATTATGGGTGTGTGTGTGTGTGTGTGTGTGTGTGCTTCGCTCCTGCACGTGATCAGATCTTCAGTTCCACACGGACTCGAACTGATGATGCACTTCCGGTTATAACCGCGGTTCGCATGCTCGTCCATTTCCGGTTGTGTAGATTAAAGCGGAGGAAAACCGGAGAAAACGGGATTATGGCAGAGTCTTCAATATTTACTGTCCTCCCGTCTTTGAAACGAAACGTACATACGTTTAGATGTAATTTTATATATAGTTATGTTTATTTAATATAATTTTAAAAAGAAGCATAAACACAACGAGGGGTGTCTGTTTTATCTGTTTTTGTGACTAACGTTTCATTAGTATAACCATGGAGTATAAAATTCAATATAAATTCTCGGTATTGCATTGGACTCTATGATCGGCGGAAGTTATCGAGCATCCTTAATCCTTCACCGGAAATAACGCCGTGCATAGAGCCCGTTCACAGTAGAAGCAGGTGAACGGAACGCTAGCAGGGTTATGTAAAGCGCAGCACAAAGGCTTCTGTGTAAACGACGCTATTTTTTAACAAATCTCTGCTGGATCGGTTCAGCGGGATATAATAAACTCGTGGATTATCCTGAATCAGCAGCTGAGGAGAAATATTACACAATAGTTGATCCATGATAGACTGAGGAGGTTAAAGTTTAAACTGGACCAGTGGAGAAACTTATGAATGAACGTTCTTCCAGTAACATTGATAGAACGTTCCTTCAAAGTTATCTGGTCTTTAATAATGTTTTCAAAACGTTAGCATAAAAACGTTATTTATACATCTTCATTCGTTTTTTTCTGAAATCGTTCAGTTTGATGTTCGACTAACGTTCTTTAAACACGTTCTTTATGACGTTCTTTAAATGTAACTTGTTTCAGAACTCCCAGAGAACATTGAAAAGTAACGTTCCCATAGTGTTTGAGGATGATACAATGGAATGTTCCCTTAACCTTCACATAACTAAGGAACCATTTTAAAACATTCAATAAAAAAGTTTGAACAATCAGAAATACGCCTTTTATAATTTAATGGGAAAGGTAGCTAAACATTTTTATACATATTTTTGTCTGCTGGGAGAGATTTAGTTTGAGGCATAAAAACAGGAACGCTTTTAGAGAGACTTAGAAGAACAGAGATTTTACACTGTTAGTGTTTTGGGGTTTAAATAAAAGATGAAGTTAAAGTGTGTGTGTGTGTGTGTGTGTGTGTGAGAGTGAGAGAGAGAGAGAAAGAGAGAGAATGTGTGTAACACTGTGTGTATAGTTTGATATTCCTGCCTGAAGGTGGCGACCTTGTTCTAAATATCCACATTTTCAAATGTAAAATGCAAATATATTAAGCGCTGCTTTACTTTTTGTGAAGATGATGTTATATGCACAACATTTCAACATTTGTATATAAAAACTAACATAAAAAAGAAGAAAATTGTCAAAATAATAGGATTAATGAAGTGGTGCCTGTACAGACATGAGTTGCCCTGTGGGTGCAGTATCGCGGTGAAGCAGCAGGTGGCGCTGTGGAGGATCATGATCATGGAAGAAGTGGATCTCAGGAGACTGTGTAAGAACAATCTGTGTTTCTTTCTAGCCTAATGCTCGATGATTCAAAATGATGTAGGATTTTTTTGATAAATACAAGTGTACCTTTTTGTTCCTCTATAATTGGCAAGGGCGTTATGAGTTGTTGCTAGGGAGTCCTGGATAGTTTTTAGGATGTTGCTAGAGTTCTGGGTTGTTGTTTTTAGGGTGTTGCTAGGGAGTTCAGGGTTGTTACTAGGGCGTTGCTAAGAAGTACTGGGTTGTTGTTAGGGTGCTGCAAGGGAGTTCTAGGTTGTTGCTAGGGACTTGCTAAAGAGTTCTGGGTTGTTGCAAGGGAGTTATGGGTTGTTGTTATTAGGATGTTGCTAGGGAATTGTGGGTTATTGCTAGGTTGTTGC